TTCCTTTCTTTCTTTCTTTCTTTCTTTCTTTCTTTCCTTCTTTCTTTCCTTCTTTCTTTCTTTCTTCCTTTCTTTCTTTCTTTCTTTCTTCCTTTCTTTCTTTCTTTCTTCCTTCCTTTCTTTCTTTCTTTCTTTCTTTCTTTCTTTCTTTCCTTCTTTCTTTCTTTCTTTTGGTTTCAATGGTCACTTTATTGCAAGATGGTTGAATTAATTAGAAATTAAAACTATAACTTTATGGATGATCTTCAGTCAGATTTAGTCGAATTTTTATTAAAAGCAAATTGCTTGTTCAGAAGTGATCATGGAACAACTCAAAATGCAGAGCAAGAAGGATAAGAGAAACATCTTACTGGCCAATAGATTGTTTTAATTCTCTCATTATATGGAACTCAAACCTTTCATTTTTAGGAAAGGTAAATTGTAACTTCAGGAGACAGCAAACCAGAAGGATCTTGTCACACAGACTGTTTTCCATTTAGTCAGTTATTCCTAGCTCTCTCCATTGGCATAGATGCAGTTACAGAACTGGCTGTGCTTGAGCCTTCTCTGCGAGGACCTTCAGATCTGCAGTGCACTTGGCAACTGTCTCCTTTTCCTGCTGTGCAGAGATGCTCTGAACCACGTGCTTCTCCCCCCAGTTTATCATGTGCTCTTGTTCCTTTCGACGCATCACGTTCTGCACAGCGATGTGATAGTCCAAGCTATACTTTACCTCCCTGTGTACCCTATGCAGCCGTTCCCAGTACATAAGCTCCACGGCCATCGCAGTGTTATTCCTCTGGACATCAAAAAGGTAATGGCGTTTCTGAACCAGTGCCTGCTGTGACTTCTCCAGATCAATCGCATCCTGAATGTTTTGGATGGAAGCCTGTTTCCCCTCTTCTAGTTGGGCAGTTTTTTGCTCATCGAGTTTATCAGCAAATTTTCCAATAGAGGTGCCATATTTTTTAACTACATAGACAAGCACCCCTACTGCTGATATGGCAGAGAAGGTCTCTGCAGTTATCATATGCGTTTCTTGGGCGAGTAGATATAAGATGAGCCCAGTTCCAAGCACGTAGGGTCCTGTTACACCAGTTTTAGGATAAAGGAAGCAAAAGAATTCCTCAGGGATCAGCCCCAAATGAGCTTTTCCTCCATATTCAGGAACAGGTGGCACAGAGGCAAGACTTCGCTGCTTGATGTGAAAGATCCTTTTGCCTGCAATGCCCTGGACCCAGGAGGGCTGCGTTCCTCAGGGGCTGGGGGAGCTCCTGCGGTGGCGGCAGAAAGCGCCACCGGGACAGCACTGTCAGGTAGCGTCGCACAGCGGTCTCGGGGTCCCAGTGACCCGGACAAGCTTAGGTTTCTTATTTTTCCATGATCTGAGTGCTTTTCAGCACCAGGACTGGAGGGAGTCTAGACTAGATTAATTGGTGGATGAGTTGAGTGATCTACCCAAGTTGCATGTTGCTAACTGGCTTCACAGTCAGACCTCAACGTCGCCATTTGTTCATGCGTGCATTCGTCAAATGTTTACTGCCTTTTTTAGCGAAGGCACTGTGTTCAGCACTAGGGACACCGGGGGAACAGAAGCAGGCCTGGAGCAACCACTGTAGTGAAGGTTCTGGATGCCCCGTCACAGAGCTGGGAAGGGAAGTGACGCGTCCAAAGGGAAGCTCACTGGGCTCTTTCTGACGTGTTCAGATCAAGTTTAAAGCTTTAAGAAGATCCAGACAGGATGGCCTTCACCATATGTGTTCTGTCTCAGCCCCTCTTTGATGCAGGAAAAACTTAGGTGACATCTCTACCTGTGTCACCTCCATCCTTGTGTTTGTTAGGGAGGCAGCTCAGGGCCACGGTCACCATCACAAGTGATCAGGCCAGACTAATCCCCATCCCACTATAGAGCAGCCAGGGGCAAATGACTTCCCTTCTCTGACCCTCTGTCTCTTCTGTAGGATGAGGATGTGAGAGTTGTACTCTGAGCTGTTCGGTTATTTAAGGAGAGGATGCTTCTGAGGTGCTCAGCACAATACTAGTTGCCGTCATTAGTTCGAAGCAGGGTCTACTCCTCTTCAGTCTGGCCCATGTCTGATACTGACCGGCAGAAGGCTATTTGCTCATTGACTGAGTGATGTATCTTCCTGCTGGCATCCTTGCCTTGCTTGTGGCATGAGGCTCCCGGCAGGGTGGAGGTAGAGCCCTGGACGCCCAGAATCTGCCAGGAGGACCAGCTGCTGCCCAGCTCTCCCCTCCCTTCCCCTGCCATTGCTGTCTCACCATAATCAAGGATGTTGGACCAATTAGAAGCTCTAACAATTAAGATGTGCCGAGGGCATGCGAGCCTTTGCAAACACTTATTAAAACACATCAATAATTAAGCCCTTCTTCAATAGTTACATTTCTGGCCTCCAGACATATCTGTTTGTGGATCTGTTTGGGTCGCAGTATGCTTTGAGAGCTGTGTTATGACCTTCCATTTTGGTACTGAGAATTTAAAATTCTTCCCCAACTTGGATGCTGAGATTTGACAGTGAAACGGCAGAGCGAGAATGCATGGACTCTGTAGCTGCCTGATCCTAGAGGTGCGATCTTCAAAGCCAGCCAGCCGGACAGCGTACAATCCAGGCTCTGCCACCGTGCAGCCTGGGGGAGGGCCCGCACCCTCCCTTTCCTGGCCTGTGAAGTGAGCAGAATGACACCTGCCTCGCAGGATCCGTTGCTAATTGTGGGCGCAGATGCCAGCCACGTGTAAGTTCAATTCACAGCAGCTTCTGTTAGTGGTGGCCTTGAGCATCATCAAAGGACAGAAAAAGGGCAGCAGGTAGCTAAAGGGTCAGGATGCCAGTCTACACTAGCAGTTGCAAATCAAGTGCCCACCAGGACCGGACAGGTCACAAAAGTGAGAGAAGCCAGGCCGAGTGGGGACTGGGATGGATGGAAAGGCTCAGCCCTGACCCCTGGCACAGGCAGGAGGGCAGAGCCAGGCTACCCGGGCTTCTGACTGTTTTGGGGGGGGAGGGGGAGATATTTAGGTTTATTTATTTATTTATTTATTTTTTTAATGGAGGCACTGGGGATTGAACCCAGGACCTCATTCATGCTAAGCACGTGCTCTACCACAGAGCTCTACCCTCCCCACTCTGACTTTTTAAGAGAAGCAGGAAACCTGGGATTTTATATACGATCACCTGTTTTTTTTTTTTTATGTGCCAATTCCTTTGAATTTTCTATTTTTTTAATTACTGCACCGGCCAAACGAACATCTCTGTGGGTTGACTTGGCCTCGGTCCCCACTCGTGAACCACACATCCATATGGGCATCTTCTTCCAGGTAATTGCTTAGGGGCCCACTTCATTTTAGCCAGAGGCTTGCGGATTGATAGGCACCTCTCCGATTTAGTGACAATCTGTAACCGAGTGATGTGGATTGGAAAGCAAATCAGCTAACTGGAGAGGAAGTAATTGACTAATCCCAAATTCAGGTTTTGATCCCATCTGGCACTGAGAGGCTGAGCGGGCAGCGGATGGAGGCGTGTGCGGCCCCTCACATCTAGTCGGTCTGTCTCTCATGAAATATGCAAAGGACAAGAGGATTTGATACTGGGGGCCCGGGGGGGGGGCTGTGGTCCGAATTTTCTCTCGCAGGGGGTGACAGCGCTCACACTAGCTTGGAGTATTCAGCATGTTTCATGCATTCAGTCTGAAGTGGAACTTTATTTTTTACCATATCTGTAGTTGTGAGTAAACGGTGGTCATTTGTTTCTTCGCTTCTTTATGGGTTGGACCAAATCACCCCAACAACTAGTCGGGTGTAATCGGATTTGGTTTTTAACATGCTTTTAAAGTAAAGAAATAAATACCATCGAGGCTTGTAAAAGGTGATCATTAGAGAAGGGGCCTTGGCCCCATAACTTCAAAGTAATAGCCCCATTACGGAGAGGGGCGATGATTTTTTAACCGTCCCTTGCATTTATGTAGCAAGGTTGAGGGGCTTTGCGGGCAGGTTGGGCATTTCAGTAAAAGCTTTCCAGCAGCCATTTAACCTCCATTTACGAAGAAATAAAGCGAAATTGATGCTGATTTGGACCTGCTTTGGGGGATATTTTTGTTCCATAAAAGCCCTTTAGCTTGCAATTTGCTGAGCTGCCCTGTCACATGAGAAAGGGCGGCTGTTGATGAAGATAAAGTTTTATGGCTACAATATTTGCTGCTAACAGCAACCTAATGCAGCATTTTCATTTTTGTGCAATTAATGTTAACGTCTGCTACGAAAATTGTCATTAAATACCATTTTAAAATCCATTCAATTTGCATATGCAAAGCCCATTTACCATCATGGAAGATATAGCCGGCACTTCATCACGTCCTTTGCCTGGAATTGTAGCCACTCAGTTTTATAGCAATTTAAGATTTTATATTGAAAGCTAAGATGGTAATGGATGTCCTTTCTGAGCCCAGCCGACTTCAGCTTTTCCATTGTATGTAGAATAACGCAGCCCCAGGACCAGAAACTGTGGGTGATCACCCTGTACCCCAGTCCCGAGGAGGTACGAGGTGGAAGAACGAGCACTGGACAGGGAGCCCACAAGCCTGCCTCTAGATCTGGCTTTTGTCTGGTCACAGTTTTCTGTGTGACCTTGTGAAAATCTCTTCACCTCTCTGAGCATCTACTTTCCTGTTTTAAATAGGGACTTCCAATCGAGTGATTGCTAAAAGGCTATGTGTTCTAATATTTCACATTTTTAAATATTAGCACACGAGGTTGAGAATCCAGGCCATGCCTTGTTGTGAAGAACTTGTGTGAACTTGGAGAAGTCAATTAATCTCTCCTTGTCACAGCCGGACGAGTAACCCTGCACAACAGCATGAATAGACTTGGTGCCCCTCAGCCGTTCACTTAAAAATAGGAAATCTTGCTCGACACCAGAAATCAACAAAACACTGGAAATTGACCATACCTCCATAAAAAGAAATGGTGAATCTCATGTACGTTTTACCCCAATAAAAAGTGATTAGAAAAAAATAAAAATAAAGAAGGAATCACCACCACACACACACAAAGTACGGTGACATAGCCAAAGGAAGGCACCTATCCGGGGACAGTGCACCAGAGGCAGGAAATAGGCTGGGGACAGATTGTCAATGGCCTTGCCACGCAGTTGAGTGGAGATACTGACTTAGTCACAGGTGTCACACATGGGACTTGGGGCAGCCAGAGGCCCCAGGCCACTCATGGCTGGCTGAGAGCACTTCTATTTATTTGTACAATGCAATGTACAAGTACCAGTGGTTTCTGCAATGTTTGCGTGGTAACACAGTGGGGGTTAGGAAGCCCTGCTTACTGGACATTTGCTATTTTTTCCCTGCTGTTGTGTTCTGATCTCCTCCTTCTGGGTCAGGACCCCTGTTGATACATCTTTCCCATCATCAGCCCCTGTACATTGTGAGGACTGATTCCAGCCATGCTCCTCTAAGGAGGGGCAAGGGATCGGGCCTGGCCAATCAGAGCATCAGATTCCCCTGGCCTTGGCGGTAATTGGTGCAGAGGAAGACGTGTGCCCCGGGACTGGCCAATCAGCGTGTTCTACAATTTCTACTCACCCCTGTGGTTGGTTCAGGGATAGGCATGGTACCCAAGCTGGACCAAAGAAAGAATCTTAATCTCAAGGCTTTCATAGTTCCTACACCCTTACCGCTGGGGTCACTTAAATAATAAGACATAAGGATGGAACTGCTTCTGGCCATTTTGCCTCATGAGGAAGAAGCTGGTCAGAGAATGGAGCCAAAACTGGGAAGCAGAGCTGAGTCACAGAGAGAAATACCAAATGCTGATGACATCGCCTGATTGCTTAGATCCAGCTGTGTACCTGGGCTGTACCTTTGGGCTTTTCAATCACGTGAGCCAATAAATTCCTCTTAAAAAAAATTAGAGTACTTTGCGTCGAGACTTAATCACATGCGACCACATTCTACTTCTATAGAATGTCTTGCGTTCTAGAGTTGGGACATAGGTCACAGGTCTGCTTCTGAACCAATCGCCGTGCCCATGGCTTCTGAAATATGCTGATTGGCCAGGCTTAGATCACTTGCCCCTCCCTGGAGTCCAGAGTCATGCTCCCACATTTTCCCCTAATTCAGTCACCACTGGGCAGCCCCCGGGGTGAGGGGTGGAGCCTTAGGAGCCAGCCGTCTTACCGTGCCCGGACCCCGAACGTCATGTTTGGAGGGAGAGAGGGCAGCTCCCTCCTGAGGCGCCGGTCATCCTGGTCACTGATGCGGATGTCGTTGAGCTGACGGTAGAGGAAATTCTCCCGGGCAGTTACCAGGCCGGCTTTCACTGCCCCACGGTTCATGGCGATATAATCCCGGGTCAGCTCATGGGGGCAGGTAGGCTGCTGTTTAAACACATCCCAGTGTCCAATGGCTGAGGGCAGGGAGAGAGAACCATGGAGTGGAGGTCACCCTGGGAAGTAAAGCAAGCCGTGGCACCTGACTGGGAAGAAACGAGGGCACAACTACCTTCTCATTAACCCGGAGCTGCTGTGTGACAGCCCTGCCTGGCCCCCTGGAAAGGGAAGGCCGGGATTCCCAGAGATTCCAGACGGTGCCTAGCATCCTTCATGAAGCTGGCTTTGCCTGGCCTTGACCTCCTCTGGGCGGTCAGAGGGTTGGTCCTGAGCAGGCCTATGCTTGCAGGTACAGAGCCCAGAGGGTCTCTCACCTGGGGACGAGGCTCCACGCTGTCTGGGGCCCTTGCTATTTCCCCAGCACTGCAGACCTGGACCCTGCGTGGTCCTCTCCTCCTCAGCCAAGCCCAGACTGTGGTTTCCGCCAGAATCATCCTGCGGGGCAGGCCCCTTGACTCTTTTCCCGGAGCGTGGCCAGCTGCCAGATGGCCCAGGCCGAGAGCTCACACCCCCCTGGGCTGCAGAGCACCCTTGCTCACCTTCGGGGACCCCTCCATCCAGCCCCCGGATGTAGAGTCCATAATTAAAATTAATTCCGGGCAGACTGCAGCTTCTTTCCCGGGGCTTCCCGAGTTCAGCCTGTTGGGGGGAGGACAGAGAACAAAGGTGAGGAGTGAAATCTCAGACGACCCTATTATAGTAAATTCAGCAGCAGGGAGTCACCGGATGCTCACTTTGCCCCAGGCCCTGAGGGCGACTTTCAGGGTTACCAGGGTGAGGACGGCAGAGCCCTCGGTGAGACGAGGGTTAACTGCTCTTGGGCCCTGAGCCACACCTTGGGGCAGCCTGCCTGGTGTGTTCCTGCTCAGGGGCGAGTGAGGAGGGCAGAGCGGGGAGGACCCATGTGGCTGGGGGTGGCCGGGAGCGAGGCCTTGAAGGAGAAGGTGCACTTGCACGGCGGGAGAGGGGCGGTGCAGTCCCTGCACGGAGCAGCGGTATTTGGGAGCCAGCCTAGATCTGCACGGCTGGAGCTGGAAATGACACCTTGCAGATGTGCGGAAATGTGGTTCACGGAGACTCACCCGGAGGCCACCCCCAAGGGAGAGGGTGTCATTCCTCCCTAACCCTTCATCCCTACCAGGGACGGCTCAAATCGTTGTCACTGGAGCTGCGTCCTGGAACTTTGCCTGAAGGTGGAGATACAATGACAAGGACCATGGTCACCCTCCCGGCGGCTGGATAGCCATTGTCACTATCTGGGTCTCTGGGGAACTCCTCCTTGACCTTCTGGAAGGGGTTTGTGGGAACAAAATCGCTCTATTATCAATCAGATCAGTTCTCCCATTTTATAGGTAGGGAAGCTGAGGCACAGAGTGACGGGGCCACAACCCACGGTTCCTAAGGGACGGGTCTGGATGTCAGATCCAGGTGCGGTGGGCCTCGGGGTGAAGCTCTGCATCATGGTGCTCTGCTGCCTGCCTTTAGGCCAGCAGCTCCCTGAGGTCCAAGGTCCTGTCTGTACGGAGCCTAGAGCGTCATCGCTCTTCATCAGTGGGCACCTGCTGAGGCTTGTGTCTCAGACACAACACTCGGCTCTTCGTCTGTTTCTCTCACTAATCCTCACAGCTGTGCCGTGAGGCAGCTCAGGACTGTCCCATTACTCAGACGGGGAAGCAGAGGCACAGAGAGGTCAGACAGGTTGCACAGGGGCCACACGGGAAGAAGCGGCAGAGCTGGAATTTGAACTCGGGCTGTGTCTCCAGCCCACATTGAGATCCATCTGCTCAAGAGATACCAAGCTGGTTAGCATGGCTCCCAGTGCCATCAGGCCCGTGGGCCAGGGACCTTACTAAGAAGGGTGGGTGCAGTTGCTCCTTCCACCCCCGCAGGCCCCAGGCAGTGCGCTCCCCGTTGCAGGGTGCTCTGTCTCCCAGGACATCCCTGGCTCTGACCTCACCGACGGCTATCCAGAGTGTCTGGTGGCTCCAGTCTCACCCTTTCTCCCTTTTCCATCAATCTCTGTTCCTCCTTCTCTGGTTCCCAGTCACTTGGGCACATTGAAGTGCATGAGCCAGGACCACCCATAATGGCTTATCAGTCTTTGGAATAAGCCCCTCCCTTGGGCTGGCAGTCCAGGCCCTGCTTCCTCCAACCCACCCGTCCCTGCAGCTCTGCCTCCCTGACTCCCCAGCGTGGCCCTGAGATTTAGGCTCCATCGACCTCTCCCCTCCCTGAAGGGTCTGTAGGCGTCCCAGCCTCTTTTGCTCCTGGCCTGCCCGTCCCTTTCTGTTCTTATTCTTCACACTCTCTGGACCCCTCGGGCTCCAGTGGCCTCTCCCTCGTCTGGCTTCAGTAGCTCTTACTAACAGTTCTGCTCATTTGGGGCTTTGAACTGAAGTGACCTTCTCAATTTCCAGGAATACACAAACTGGGCCAGCCTGCGTGGATCAAAAATTCCTACACAGCCAGAACCATGGCTTCTCTTGCCTTCTTTTGCCTGGTAGCACATAACAGGTGCTCAAAAAATGCCTGAGATTTAAAAGCTTCTTCCTCTGGAAAGCCGTCCTGGGTTGCCCTCAGTGTCCTTGTGGCCCTGAACTCCACCTTTAGGGCACTTTCAAAATCACACAGTACAACCTGCTTCAGCATGGATGGGCCGTGACAGTATGATTCTCGGTGAAGAAGCCAGTCACAAAGGACCACGTATTGTCTGACTTCATTAACATGAAATGTCCCAAACAGGCAAATCCATAGAAACAGAAAGTGGATCAGTGGTTGCTGAGGTGGGGAGGGGAACGGAATGATTGAAGGGTGATGGCTAAGGGGTGTGAGGCTTCTTTGAGAGGTAATGAAAATGCTCTAAAAGCGAGAGTGGTACTGATTGCACAAGCCTGTGCATGTGCTAAACGCCCTTTAAATGGGGGATTGTGTGGTATGTGAATTACATCTCAGTAAAGCCATTAACAATTGCAAAGTACTGTAATTAAGTCACTAACTGTGTGATGATCAGCTTAATGTCTTTCTCCCTCAGTAGACTGTGTGCTCAGTCTCTTTCTTTTTTTTAAAAATAGTTTTATGTGTTTATTTATATCCTCCCTCATTCTTTTTTAAAGTCATTTTTTTTGTTGTTGTTGTCGATGGGGAGAGGTAATTAGGTTTTTTAAAATCATTTGTTTATTTATTTAATGGAGGTACTGGGGATTGAACCCAGGACCTCGTGCATGTTAAGCACATGCTCCACCACTGAGCTACACTCTCCCCACTCATTCTTTCTCTTTCTTTCTTTCGTTCTTTCTTCCTTCCTTCCTTTCTCCCTCCTTCCTTCCTTCTTTCTTGGTTAATTATTCAAAAAATAGACTTCCTTTTTCTAGAGCAGTTTTAGATTCACAGCAAAACTGAGCAGAAGGTGCAGAGAGTCCCCATCTGTCCCAGAGTCTTTACTTTCACTCCTCTTTTTCGAGGAAATCAGCATAGAATAGCTGCTAGTAAACAGGGGTTGAATGAATGAACGAATGAATGAACTGCCTACTTGGAGACCCTGTCTGTTCTTCTCCCTTCGCAGCCTCATCAGTTTTCTCCCTCTTCTTTCTCGTCTCAAACCCCAGGCCCTGACCATCCGTGAGAGCTAGGAGTTCTGAGTTCTGAGAGGTGGGTGCCTCTGCCAGGTGGTTTGTTTTGAATTCCTTCTGCAAGATTCACTCTGAGCTGCAGACAAAGCGCTGGCTTCTCATTTGTTTATGAAAATGATCTGGCCTCTCCCGTGACTGCGAGGGAAGTTAATTAAAATGTGACTTCTCCGGGAGAGGCCCCGCCTCCCTCTGGGCAGGTGCAGGTGGGCAGACTTCCAGCTGGCAGAGGAAGGACAGACTCGGTGGCTGCCGCTGGGCGGGGGTGGTGGAGAGGGAGGTGGGGAAGCGGGCGGGTGCCTTCATCTGCACTCTTTTTAGTGAGGGTTGCCTAGGAATCAACAACTACCAAAAGCACTGATGCCTGCGACCGCAAAACTCATCCCCATGGGAGAGTCACTCGTTCTTTCAGTGCGTAAATACTGATTTTGTAACTCCTCTGCACCAAGCTCTATGCCAGGAGTTCTAAGGTGAACAAAGCAAACACATAACCCCCTGCCCTTATGAAATTCATTGTCTGGCTAAAAGAACAACTGAACAAGTAGTGACAACCAAGTGCACCAGAGGGTTTGGTAGGGGAGGACAGATTGCCTCTAGTTATAAAAATTTGTGAGTCTACAGAGTGAGAGAAAGTGTTTGCAATACGTATATCTGACATAGGACTGTTATCGATCATATATAAAGAGCTGCCACAAATCAATAAGAAAAAGGCAGGCAGTCCTACGGGAAGATGAGCAAAAGTCTTGAATAGGCACTTTATCAAGAAGACGTCCAAGTGACCAGGATCCATATGTCAAGGTGCTCAACCTCTGAGAAATGCAAAATCAAAACTCAGTGCTGTTGGTGAAGACGTGGAGAAACTGGAATACTGGTACACTTGGTGGGAGTGTAAATTGGTACAACCACTGTGGGAAACTATTTAGCAGTATCTATTAAAGCTAAACCTAGGAGATGCCTACCAATAACCCGACAGTTCCCTCCTGGATGGCCGGCAGGAATGAGTGCCCACATCCACCCAGAGAGATGTCTGAGAATGCTCACAGCAGCTTGGCCTGTGATAGCAAAGCACCAGAAGCAACCCAGATGGCCATCCCAGGTAGACAAGAAAAACGTGGTGGCAAATGCCTTCCCTGGAATACTCCACAGCAGCGGTTCTCAGCTGGGGGCAACGTTGCCCCCAGAGGATACTTTCCCGAGCCTGGAGACAGTTTTGGTTGTCACAGCGAGGCAGGGGCACCACCCTCCATCTGGTGGGTGGAGACCAGGGATGCTGCTAAACATCCCCCAATGCACAAGACAGCCTCCATCCCCCAAACAAAGAGTTATCTGGGCCCAGATGCCAATAGTGCAGAGGCTGAGACACTGCTTGCCGGCAACAGGAATGGAAGAGCAACTACGCACAGCCACGCAGGTGGTTCTCGCACGACGTGTGGGGGAAGAGCAGCCGGACACACAAGGTGCGCGCTGCTCAAAACTGGAGTGTTGCCTGGTGGAATGAAGTAGGACACCCTCCCCCAAATGTGGCTGAGAAGCAGATTCAGCCCTCTGCCCTGGTAACTGGACCTCCTTCCCACCGGGCAAGTCACACGGAAGTCTCCAAGAGGGAGCTTGTCTCAGTGTGACTTGAGCGCACCTGTTACAGCCTCCTGGGAGCCTTTGCCCGAGCTCGAGCTGTGGGAACTCTCCCGGCCCTTCTCTCTGTCCCTCTCATCCCAAATACCCCCAGACTTGGAGTTCCATTCTTGGCAAATTCATCCTTTAGGTTTGGGGCCGTGTGTCTCAGAGTCCCTGTGTTCACCTGCAAGCACCCTAGAGGAGCAGCGAACTCACCCATTACCCCTTCAGCTGCCCAGTGAGACGAGCTAACTGGCCCCACCCTAGTGCCACCACCATCAACCACAGCAACAGCAGTGTCATGGTGGACCAGGCTCCATGGGGGCGCTTCACACCCCCCATCCCCATCCTGCTAACATGCAAAGCAGTCCTATAAAGTGACGACTACCGTCCAGATTTTCAGATGGGAAATGGAGGCCCAGACAGCTGCAGGGCTTCATTTATCCAAAGCCTCACAGTTCGTGAGTGGCCAAAGCTGGACTGGAACCCATATCTGACCCCACACAGCCTTGCTGCCTCTTGGCATTTAGCATCACCTGCCTGGGGAACTCCGTTGTCTTTGCCCACTCACAGAGCTTAGCCCTGCAGACTGGATTTTCCTCATACAGAACAGGTGATTCTAACTTGTTTGCACAGCACCCTCCGCACACACAGAGTTTGTAACTAGCCTTACGCCCAGGGGAGCCCCAGGTCCAGTCCTCTGTGTCGTATATAGACTGGGGTTATGGGAAGAACCGTCATTTCAGTGACCTGGACACGGGACAGCTAAATGAAGCCCAGGTCAGAAATGGAAAAAAAGGAAAATCCAGATCTTGGGTTGGCATTTTGGGGAGAGCCAACCTGAAGAAGATTCCAGCGGGGCAGCCAGGGAGAACAGGAGTGCTGGGGGTTCCCCGAGAGGCTTCCTGGAGGCAGGAAAGAGGATCCAGCCAGAGGTGGGAGGGGCTGGCTCTGACCTGGGCCTCCTTCCCAGCTTGTCCTTCTAGAAACCTAGAGAAAAGCTGCCTGGCAGAGGGGTCTGCAGGTCTCTGGGCACCTCAGTGAAAGACTGACATACAGGTGCTTGGAGGAGCTCCTGACCCTAAACTTCTA